CCTGGCAGGCCCCTGCGGGGGCCGGGCGACCCAGCGTCCCCCCGGGTGTGGAAAGGACGGCTCTCCCTCTCCCGGCAGCCTACCGCACGGACGAGGGGCAGCCATGGGTCCTGCCGGTGGTGAAGAAGGTGGAGCAGATGATCGCCAACGACAGCAGCCTGAACCACGAGTACCTGCCCATCCTGGGCCTGCCCGAGTTCCGGGCCAACGCCTCCCGCATCGCCCTGGGTGACGACAGCCCCGCCATCAAGGAGAACCGGGTAGGTGGGGGATGAGGAGCGAGACTGCTCCTTCCTTGGAGAGCAGCTGTGATCCCTGGGGTGTCTCTGCAGCAGAAGAGCACAAATGTGCAGGATTTGGAGAGATTTTGGCAGGATTTGGAGATTTTCTGTGATGTGGCCTTTACTGGTTGTGGGTTGTACTTGATGAACCCCTGTACTTGAAGCTGTTTGTGCAAGTAATCCTAGTTTTGGGGAAAGACCGAATGTTTGCTGTGACTGGACTTTGTTTTTTCCTTCATCTTGTAATGTTTGCCCTGTGGGAAACTGAAGTCAGATAATAGGCCACCTTTCCTGAAATAAGCTGCTAGCTGGGAGTCTGCTCTGTGCCAAAAAATAACAGGAATAACTGGAATCTATTTATAACTGTAGAAGGCGTCAGGATGGGCCTGAGCACTGAAGGAGGTTGAAGACCACTGGAAGGGAATGGTGTCCTGGCTGGGGTGACCCTGGGGAGAATGTCTAGGATCCTGTCTTGCTTGTGCAAACGCCTGTGCTCTCCGTGCACTGACAGCCGGGCTAACCTGGGTGGACCCTGCTGGCAACTGTCTCTGTTGCAGATTGGAAGTGTTCAGTCCTTGGGCGGGACAGGCGCTCTGCGAATCGGCGCCGAGTTTCTGAGGCGGTGGTACAACGGGAACAACAACACAGCAACCCCGGTCTACATCTCCGCTCCGTCCTGGGGTCAGTGCTGTTGTCAGTGTTCCCACTTCCTTGCAGGGAGCCCTGTGGGTCAGCGGGTGAGGGAGGAATGGCAGGGGCCTGGGCAGTGAGAGAGGGGCCTTCTTCTTGTGGGTAAAGGGAGTGTAAGTGTCTCCATTGTGTATTTTGGTGACATTTAGGGAGGTACGGGGACTGGAGAAGGTGGCTGCTGGAGGTGGGGCCTGCTTTTCTGAAAAGTGATTTATTTCCTCAGAGAACCACAACTCTGTGTTTGTGGATGCTGGCTTTAAAGATATTAGAACCTACCACTACTGGGATGCTGCCAAGAGGGGCCTGGATCTCCAGGGAATGCTGAATGACATGGAGGTGAGTAAAACTGTTATGGGATGGGCTGAACTTGTTGCTGTGCTGTCAGCAGCTGGCTGAGCTCTTGCATGCTGTGCCTGGAAGTGGATCTCTGCAAAAGAGACTGAGGGTGACCAGAGCTTCACGGGCCCTCTGCTGTGGGGCCCTATCTCATCCGTGTGTGTGACCAAGTCCTGCTCTCTCCTCAGCAAGCCCCGGAGTTCTCCATTTTCATCCTCCATGCCTGTGCACACAACCCAACAGGCACAGACCCTACCCCTGACCAGTGGAAGCAGATTGCTGCAGTTATGAAGGTATGGGCTGCTGCTGGGGCTAAACCAGTGCTGAGGGGACAGATAGCTCTTGAGCCAGCCAACACATTTGCATCCAAAATGGACTCTAGGGAATGGCATGAGATGTGGCAGGAGCTGGAAGAGTCCTGCAGAACAGGTATTGAAGGGAGAGGCTGACAGGATGCTGGTTGTCTGTGCTCAGAGGATAGAAGCATCCTAGTTCTGCTCATGCCTCCAAGCTCTTGCTTTCAGAGTCTGTGACATGGGCTGCAGTGAGGTTTTTCATGCTGGTAAGATTATTCACAGGCACCTGCTTTTCACAGGTGCTGGACAGTAGGGTATAAAGTGATGCACCTTTTGTGCCTGTGTATTCAAATGCAGTTGCTCCTGCATTTGATGTTTTATTGACCACTTTAGTCTTCCTATCCTTTTACCTCTGTAGAAAGAAAATATCCTGGTCTGGTGTTGCTGGACTGTGTTTCCTTTGCATTCACCCAGGAGCTCAATGATAATTTTTCCCCTCCTGCGGGGACAGCGGGGGGTAAAGTGAAGACTGTGGGGGAGGCATTTCCCTCTAACACTGTTCCTCCTTGCAGCGCCGGTTCCTGTTTCCGTTCTTCGACTCGGCGTACCAAGGTTTTGCCTCTGGCAGCCTGGACAAGGATGCCTGGGCTGTGCGATACTTTGTCTCCGAGGGCTTTGAGCTCTTCTGTGCACAGTCGTTTTCCAAGAACTTTGGGCTCTACAGTGAGTGTCTGGCAGTAAGCTGGCCCAGTAGCATCATACCCAGGCAGATGGGGCTGGCATGCTGGGGGGCAGGGAGAGCTCTGCTTTGCCATGATGTGTGGGACCGATGGCTCATGTCTCTTGGCTTGTCCACAGATGAACGTGTGGGGAACCTGACTGTGGTGGGGAAGGACGCAGACAACGTGCAGCGTGTACTTTCCCAGATGGAAAAGATTGTGCGCACCACTTGGTCCAACCCTCCGTCCCAGGGAGCGCGCATTGTGGCAACGACACTTTCTTCCCCGCAGCTCTTTGCT